CACGACGATCCCCATTATACAGATGGAGAAACGGAGGCACAGAGAGTTTAAGTAACTTCCCCCAGGTCACCCAGCTAAGGAGCAGCAGACGCAAGCCTTGAACCCAGGCTGGCGGGCTCCGGAGCCCACACTTTTATGACTTGATTCTGCCTCATCATTAACTACCACCATCGAGGGCTAAGTGGATGGTGTCACGGGTTTCATACTCACCGGCACTACTCACCTTTCGTCAAACGGCCGAACCTTTCAGAGCCTCTGGTCCCCAAATGTCTGTAAAGCGGGGACAATTACACCTCCCACCATGGGTCGCGGTGAGGACTGGTCGGCAAATCCATGCGAAGCTGCTGCTTTCCAGGCTGTGGAAATCAGCAAAGAATGAAACCAATGAGAAAAGCAAAGGCTATTTATTCGGAGTTCGCTCTAGCGACGGAGTCAGCCACTCTCGCTTGCATTTGGGCAGAGGCTCAAAGACAGGCAGAGGGGGGTGGGAAAGCTTCGTGGTGGAAAAAAGAGAAGGCTTCAGCTGTGCCCTGATTGGAGGCCGTTGGCCCGGGGAACCTAGAAGGCGATTGGTTAGGCTGCGTATTTGGCTTTCTCTGATTGGTCCGAAGTTAGAAGCAGGGACGAACCTTAGGGAAGCTGTTGGTCGTTAATCAAGTCCCGGCCATTTAAGGCCCATTCTTGCAGAAGTGGCTGTTTGTGGTCCTGGATGGTCACTGGAGATAGCAATCCTGTTTCCTTTAAGTCTGACCCAAAGCAGACTGGCTTCCTGGGCTGTTTATAAGAGGGTCGGTTTTCTAGGCAGCGCACTGCAGACTGTGGGTCAAAATTCTATTTTTATATATGGTCTGGCTGTTGTCCACTTGTGTAATGGCCTCTCAAAGCACTTTTTTCAGATGTGTTTGTATCTAATCAAAGATACATATGGAGGGGCGCCTGGATGGCTCAGTCGTTGAGCATCTGACTCTTGATTTCAGCTCAGGTTATGATCCCAGAGTCATGGAATCAAGTCCCGTGTCAGGCTCTTCGCTGGGCACGGAGCCTGCTTAAGATTCTCTCTCTCTCTCTCTCTCCCTCTCTCTCTCCCTCTCTCTGTCTCAAAAAGATACACACGGAGAAATATAATCCGTGGAAGAAGGCTCTGATGATTCTCTGTTAAAGAACAGAGTATAGATGGTCCCAGTGACCAGGAAAGAGAAAAACCAAAAAGCAAACTTTGGAAAGAAGTTCCTGGAACAGTTCCTGGAACTGTTGCTTCCTGGAAGAAGAAACAGAATGTGGGGCTCTGTTCCAGTGGTATAAGAACCACCACCATTGTATTGTGTTCACGATTTCGGGGATTAGGAATTCAGACAAGGCGCAGCAGGGAGGGCCTGTCCGCTTCATGATGTCTGGGGCCTCGGATGAGATGACTCAAAGGCTGAGAGGATGGCTCAAACGCTGGAGGCTGGAATCATCTAGAAGCGTCTTCACTCACATGTGTGGAGGCTCGTCCGGGCTGTCAGCTGGGAACTTAGCTGGGATCATCCACCAGATCACTGTCGTGTGGTGTCCCCAGTGTCACTGCTTGGGCTCTCTCACAACACGGAGGCTGGGTCCTTAGGGAGAACAAACAGAGCAGGTGTTCCAAAAGACCAAGGCAGAGGCTCCATGGCTTCTTCTGACCTAGCCTGGGGAGTCACACAGCATCATTTACATTGTATTCTTTTGATTACAAGCAAGCCACTAAGATTAGCGAAGATTCGAGGGAGGGGCATTAGACCCTTCTACTACGTAAAAGAATGGCAAGTTCATACTACAGCAGAGATCCTGTCGCAATCAACTTGGAAAAATACAGGGATTCACAGCCTCCCTCTTTGCAAGCTCACCGTCTATAGTAAAAGGCAGAAAATATAGCAAGTTATAAAAAGAGGACACTCAGTCACGTGAATCAGGCAGGGTTCTTGCTACAGCAACAGAAACTGCTTCGAGCTGATTTAAGCAGCAAAGAAATAGATGAAAGGATCCTGAACAGCTCAAAGATCTTCCAGGAGGGCAGGGAACGGAGCTTGGGAGATGTTGCGTGTTGAATGATGTCGCCTCAAAAAGACGCTAAGTCCGAACCCTCAGGACATCAGAATATAACCTTATTTAGAAATAGCATCTTTATAGAGGTAATTGAGTTAAAATGAGGCCACCAGGCTGCGCCCTAATCGGATACGTCTGGTGTCCTTATGAAATGGGGAAATTCATGGGGGTGTGCCTAGGTGGCTCAGTCAGTTAAGCATTTGACTTTGGCTCTGGTCATGATCTCATGATCCGTGGGTTCGAGCCCCGCATCAGGCTCTTGGCTGACAGCTCAGAGCCTGGAGCCAGCTTGGGATTCTATCTCCTCCTCTCTCTGCCCCTCCCCTGCTCATGCTCTGTCTCTCTCTGTCTCTCAAAAGTGAATAAACGTGTTTGTTTGTTTTTTTTAATTTTTTTTTAAGGCAAAGCAAAGCCACAATGAGGCGTGGCTTTTTAAAAATGGAGAAATTCGGACACAGAATTTTGCATGTGAAATTGCCCAGCGTTCCAATGTCAGCAACAATGATCAACACAGTGCTCTAAGGCATGTTTCAATGAGCTGCCGGTGCATGGAGGCTTTAAAGGAGGCTGGAAAATGTCTTTGTTTGGGGGAGACCTCCGCCTAGCTAAAGCTCAGGGTTCTCTTTCCCAGGGAGGAGACAAGATCGATGCCTTCCAGGTAGCAAAATGACTCCAGGGTCCCCAAGCCTCAAGACCCACAGCTTCCAGAAGAAGGGATCCCTTCCCCACCCCTATTCTGAACCGCACCCCTTCGCCTCATTCTGATTGGACCAACGGGAACCAATCACGAAGGCCAAAGGAATGCAGAGCGCTGATTGGCTTACGGCTGAACTGTTCCTGCCGCTTGCGCGCGCGACAAGGGACGGGATATCCCCAGGGAACGCACTGCAGAGGTGGAGGTGAAACAGGAAAGGAATCGATTTCGGGGAGGCCGACACCGGGGAGACAGCGGACTGGCATCTCAGACACGGTCTCCAAAGTGCCGAAAACACTTCTAGGTTTATATAAGGAAAATGTGGGCGAAGGGCAGTGGGTACACGCCGGTGGGCAGCCAAGGTCAGGTCCATCGTTGCCTCGGGGTCAGTCACAGGGGCCTTGCTGGCTCGGGCAGTTCCTACTGCTTGAGGGGGTAGTTCCGGTTCCCATCACAGGATGCCTCGCATGCAGGGTCTGTTGCCCGAGTTAAGAGTCAAGTTGGAAAGAGGAACTTCGTCTATTAGCAAGCACAGCCTGAGGTCAGAAGGGAGGTACTGGGAGGTCTCTTTCATGTCCAGGCTGCCAGCCTGAATCAACTCGTCGCACGATGAAGCGAGTAAGCTATGAAGGAAATGCCTATCAAGAGTCTCCTTGGCCTGGGATTGTCAGAAAAGACTTCCGGAGGGAGCTGGGAATGGTAAATTAAGCAGGAGTTCTGTATAGCGCATGGAGAAGAGTGTGCCAAGCGGAGGGAACAGCCTGGGCAAAGGCTGCACAGCCCAGAGTGTGAGGAAAGGAGCCGGGGGGGGTGACGGGACTGCGTGGGTGGACAGGGCAG